ATATATATATAGGCGCTAAGGATCGCAGGACCGGGGCCTGAGACGCCTAAAGAACTAGGATTCAGGACATAGATACTAGCTCTGCAGATAGCGGCCTCGCATCTTTCCTGAAACCTTCGTATACGGAATACACACACAGACATACGGCATAGTACTAGTATGAACTATCTACAGCTGCAATACGCTGCGAGCAATGCAATGAACCTCACTATACAGCGATGGTATTCATTGTGACTAAGCAGAGTATATGTATGCCACCTCACCACACAGCCAGCCACACAAACACTGGCCGATAATCAACCTCATCACACAGGAAAGGCTATGACAAATCACAGGGGTTCGATATCAGTTATAAAGTGTGGTCAGAAGGAGTGAAGCTGCTGGAAAGTATCACTACCGGTGTCAGCAACAATGCTACCTGACTATCTCTAACGTTCCAATCCAAAGCAATGCGTAGATGAGCACGATGGCCGCACCAGACTTGTTACTGCGACCGCCCAGGAAACAGCTCCTAGGGTTCTGTTCGGTACACTTGGTAATGAGACCTGTAATAGTGATGACAGTGAATATAGTCAAGCGGATAGTACAGAACTCCCAGGGAAAGGGAAGACAGATAAATTATGAACGCACGCTCTATCTGATGTCTGCAGCTATAACATGCCTCGGAGTTGCCCAGCATTGTTCAAATTCCATCGCACAGCGATATGTAATAATAATAATAATAATAATATAAAAATATATAACAATATATAACAATATAAAACAATATATATATATATATATATTTATGTTCATAAATCCATCGCACACCAATCAAAAGGACAGATTCTAGCAGCGACGTACCAGTCAGTGCTCCATGCAGCAGCATAACAAACACCATCAAAGTCCCAAACCACCGATGGTACTTGACACAATCTTGCAGGGTAACTCCCAGCAGCACCGTCACTGGGGAGAATCTTGGTACAGTTGCCGTGAAGAGACCAACGATCATGGCCGTAGCCTGCACGCATAAGGAAGTTAAACCGGGATTAGAAGACAGGCCAAGCAGAGGAATCAGAATTGGAAATGGGACCGTGCTGAGAAATCAGGATCAGGATTGGGGGGTTTATACGGCTAACCAGTTCGCAGAAGCGAAATGAGGTGTGCCTCAGTACTGTCCGATAAGAACCGACCAGAAACCTAAAGCGACAAGAAACCTAAAGTAACCAGATAACTACAGAGAAAATCCGGCGCATACCGTTCCATATCTGTGATGGGAGCCTAGATACATCATAGCAACGCACAAAGCAACTACAGACAACAGCTCAATGGTGTTGATGTCGGGTAGGAGTTGCTCTATGAGAGTTGGCAGGGGAAACGGTGCTTGGATGCGACGCAATGCCCATTGATGTCTACTTGCAAGGTATATTCTGGGTGTAGAGATAGAGGAGAGAGAATGTACTAATCAGCACGGATCCAGTGGCGGACATTTTTATACACAGACATACAGACAGGTGTATATGTACATACACACATACATGTATACATATATATGTAATATGAACGTTTATAAATATATATATATATATTTATATATATATATATAGTTATATATATATCGTTCATATATAT